TTTGCCCGTCCTCCAGTCTCCTTTGCTCAACGATTGAAAGTCGGTCGCCTCTCAGCAGTGAAGCAGCTCGTAGGTGAACCCGATGACTGTCTACCAGGTTGAGGAGCATTCTTTTCGGACTCGGCACGCGTGTCGGCGGGTACCAGGGTGTTTGATGAACGACTTCCCCCCAACTGCCCTGGGCAATTCTAGAAGACCGCGCATTCCACCCGTGATCTTTGATGAGTTCACAAGATGAAGGTGGTGGGGTGGCTCCTGCAGAGCCAGTGTGACAGGGACATTGCAAGAACATGTCAAGCCCTTTTCCCTCCTTCACCCTCCTTCACCCTCCTTTTCGACTCAGGGACATTTGGGTCGGGCCGTGGGCACCGCTCCACCGAGCCTTTACCGCTCCGCCGAGCCTTTACCGCTCGCTCCTGCGGGCGCGGTGAAGCGCAGGAGTTCGAAGATCAACAACGACAGAAGAGGAAGCAAATGGCCAGCGACCTCCAAGAGGCGCGACCGAAAGAAGCCCGGTGTGAACAGGTGAGACAGGCGTGAACAGGTGGGACAGGTGTTCAGTTGAAGTCTTACGAAGCTGGGTCAAGACCTTAGTGGTATGTTGTGGTTTCTTTAACATGCAGAAGTGACAGAAGCTTAGAAGATGATATCAAATTTGTAGTCGAGGCGGTGATTTTCTGAGTGGAGGCACCTTTCGCTATTGGTTGGACTTGAAGAGCATAGATCAATGAATTATCGATCAAATCATGATCTCTCACGCAAGACATTCAGCCGAGCATGCGCCGTTTGATCGGTTTCCTACTGTACTTCTTCTTGGGGTTGAAACCTCAAGCAACACCCTTCAAGCCGGAGTTGCGTTCGTGTCCACAGCCTGTGGACATCGGACATGGACATGACGACACATGATGTAAGCTACGACACCAGTAACAAGACGCTGCTAGCTACTATGGGCGCTCCTGGCATTACTACTACTACCAAAAAGCTACTGGTAACAAGGTGCATCGCCACTAGTTAGGAACCAAGAAGCTACGAACGGAAGAAAAGGCACCGAAGAACTTCGCAACTTCGATGTTCCCAGGTCCAGGCATGGAAACGGCATGGAAACGGCGGCCGGACGGCACGGCGTTTACTGGCGAGCTTCTGTCGCTGGTCAGCGCAGCGTATCGGCGCAGGTCTGGACACGAATCAAAGATGAGCTTCTTCAGCGGGAGGACCCAGGTAGCAGGTCTGGGCCGGTCTGGGCGAAGATCTTCTCACTTTGACACCAAGCCGTTTGGATGAGAGACCATGGTTTCAGAAATCCCTGCGATATGAGATAGACATACGTCAACAGTATGATTGGACGCAGTGATATATACTGTATATGTATGTATAATATATATATATATGCTATAATATATAATGTGATTTATCAGTGTCTTGTGCTTCCACCACGAGGTGCTGCAGGAGTTCTTCCATGAGGATCATGACAATACTGACACAGATTTTCCACGCAGCAATGACACTCGACACGTTCATGGCGCGAAACGTTTGATGAGATGTGAAACGCAGATGATCTCTGGAGAAGTTCCTTCAGATGATCAATTTCCAACCTGGGAAGGAGGGGGACATCTAGGTATCTAGGTATGACCAGCATCCACATTGAAGCAGCCCGGAGATTCTCTCAGATGGAACCAAAGGGCTGTTGTGATGAAGTGGTTTCTGGCAGATTTCTGTCAGGTTTCCCGTCTCCTGGAATTTTGAGGTAGGGGCAGGGGCATTCTCTCCAAGACTTTGATCATCGTTAAATGGTTCTTCCCGAGGTCATGCACAAATAGCCTTCAAGACTTCTTGAAGAAGAACGGCTTCGGGCAAAGGGGTGCAAACGAAGAGGAAAAAGAGGCCAGAGACACAGGGGCTGCTTTTGAAAGGTCCCCTTCGTTTTCTGGATGAAGATGCTTCATTGCGTTTAAATTCTCAAGGCACATTTTTCCCTGTTTACGTGTTTGCGACATGGACAGCTGCTGCGCTATTGTGCTCTGGCAGGAAGGTGATGAAGGTGATCAGGACAGCCGTGGCCAGTGTGTTTAATGACTCACGAACAAAATCAAAGGAGAGTTGTACAGCATTACTGTAACCGTACAGCTTTGTTTTTCCCAGAACCTTTGTGTCATCTCAACATCGAGTATGGAAATACTGAGCTTTTGATTGATGACATTGACTTGAAATATCGAGAACCAGCCGTTGCTGGTGGTCAGATTTGTTTTTGCCCATTCTCCGACCCAACTATCAAACACACCCGATTTCCGTAGGATGGCGGGATGTCCTACACCGAGCGGGCCACCACACGAACGCAGTGCCGAAAACTCACCAAGTGACGCTGTCGCGGTTGGGAAAGGATGGTGGAACTCCTGGTTTGCAAACTTTCCTACCAGATTGTTTTTACATCTCCATATGGGAGGTTCTATTCATCAACAGTCAACATTAGGACAATCTGACTGATGATATCTGATGATGGTGTTCGGAACCGATTTGGTGGTTTCTTGGAGGAGTACGCAGCAGTATTTTTCGCATAATGCTACCGTAGCATAACCTTGGTGGAGTTGGATCAAAGCGGTAAGGGCATCACTTCATTAAGGTCCACTCTGAAACTGACACTTCAAGCTGAACCATGCTTGCCAGGTTCATCCGAATGGTGCAGTTCTTGTTCAACGATGCTGTCGCCGGGAGCTTCAGTGTGTTCTGACGGGCCCTGGGCCCTTTGAGGTGGGCGTGTGATGTAGGGAGACGTTCCCAATCGATGGTTTTGGTCTATTTGCCTTCTTCCAGGGGGGTCTTTTGCTGGTCTCCCTTCTCGCACCTTTTTTCTCGTCGTCTTGCTGGGCGATCTTGATTTCAACCTGACTTCGTGACCAACTTCCACTTCAACAAGTAATGGTTGGTCACCAGTTGGTGAAGCACTGAGGCTCTTCCGAAGTTGCACGAAGCACTGAGGCTCAAATGGTGGTGAGCACGACCACCAGCAAATTCTTGGAGACGCTGGAGGTGTGGGGCGGCGAAGCGAACACGGGAGCCCGCGGCGCCCAAGCACGTTTGAGGGTCATGACATCCTTTGTTTGAGGGTCATGCGACTTTCTATATGTTGTTTTTGTCTACAAAGTTTACACAGAAGTTTTTGTTCTTGCATGAAACATGGCATAGCTCAATGTGTCTTTGCTGCACTGAATATCATGTTGAATTGTAACAGTACAATCCTGTCAATAAAGACCGATCATCATAACGAAAGCACCAACAAGCACTGGAAAGATGCCCTTGTCCGTCGCCAGAACTTTGTGGAAGATGTCCAAACACAAGAGGCTGCAGCTGGGTGCCCAGGACCTTGGAAGCCTTCGAAGCCTTGGTGCCTCCTGAGCTTTTGATCCTTTTTCGAGCTGCCAAACACGAGCAGGTTTCAAACAAGGTCGACGAGGTCGACGTCGCCCCGTGCGTCTCATGTCTCATGTCTCATCTTTCGTCTTCGCTCGGTGGGCACCGGATGCTCCGCCCAGGCCCAAGCGTTGGCGTTGGAGAATGACGTCGAGAAGCCGTCAGAGGCGGTGCCGTGGGACGCATCTCATGTGAACCGTCCTCGGGTGAGATGGTTTCGAGCAGTGAGATTGGTTTCGAGGCTTAGCAGGATGTCTTTCATCAGACCCACCTTCTGGGGTAAAAAGACGTAGTCAGCTAGGACTCCGGAACCAATGTCTGGAATCAAACGGGATGATCTGCTGCTAACTTCAAAAGTTGGATCGGAAGGCAACGTTACGACTGGCAGGACGGTTCTGTATGGTTTTGTGGCCGACGAAGCATTGGTGCTGTGCTTTCAGCAAATGTGCACGGAAAACTTGTCAATTGTATGTGGCGGATTGTCATGTACACCAAAAAGGCAAACCAATGCCAATGGTCGAAACGCACGGACGGATGCACCCCCAGTGCATTGCAAGTCTTTGCAAGGAGAAGAAAGAAGAGTCCAAGAGCACCAGGACCTTGGTGTTTTGTGCGCTTAATTACTGTATAGCTTTATTTATCCATCCAAGGTCTGCTCCAATGCCGCAGTATGTGACTCCCAAACTGCGTTGGTCGATTTGGAGTGGTAGCACATGCGTCCGGTCCGGTGTCCGATCGACGCGTCTGGTCCGGTGTCCGATCGGTGGTCTTCAGCTGTTCAGGAAGCCCAACTTCAACGTGGAGTGTTTGCTCCAGAGGGGAGCACTGATCTTCAAACCCACTGGGAGGAAGATCTGGGAGGCTTTAGAGTCGGAGAGCCCAGTGATGGGCCACCCAACTACCATGCCCATCCTGTCCCATTTCGCAGGATCTCCAGGCAAGCTATGCACAAGCTTCAATGTCCCTCTTCACTTGTTGAAGAGTTTGTGCTGGCATGGACACTGTTTCTGTGGTCAGGTACTTATTGTCCTGTAGGTCACTGTAGGTTCTAACTTCATCTAACTTCTAACGGTATCTGCGGGCATTCAACAAACAGCTCAACAGACCCCTCAGACCAACACACCGTTAGACCGACCAAAACGGGTGACCCGATTTCCTCCTCCTCTGACTTTCCACCCTAACACCCTGGGTCGAGGTCGCATAACACCCGACCTCACGCCAAGCGGTGAGGTCGTCCTTGCGAGATGCCCTGCGAGCTGTCTCGGGATGTCCTGCTTTCCTGCAGGTCGGGGCGCCGATTCCGAGTCGGGATTGACTGGCGGTGAGAAGACGAGTCGGCGGAGTCGAAGAACGAACGGACGGATTTGGGGGATAGACTGTATATATGACATATGGTTCCCCCCGGCTCTCTCTCTCTCTATATATACATATGTAAGATAACCATATAACTATACCATTATATACATATCAAACTAAGCTAGAGTTGATCAGTTGATAGTGGAGCAGCCTTTTCCTTGGCCTTAAATGCCTGCGATTCAATCGACTATGCCACCTATCCTGCTACGGATCTAGTCAGACCTTCTTTCCCTTTCAGAGAACGCAAGGCTTTGTATGCCTCGACGAGACAACACATCCTTTGGCATTTTTGTTCCTTAAATCCTCTGCAGTTCTTCATAATTCTGGGGCACAGGGACCTATATATGAGCCACTCGAACCACAATAGGGACTGCCATTTGGTCGCCTACAGTGGACTTTCCATCGATTCGGTTTGCTGTTTGTGCCAGCTCGCCAAGAGATGAGAATGTATTCTCAAAGCAAGTGTATTGGCACAGAATACCCTCGTGTCAAGACGAGTTAAGTTTTCATCTATTCTGAGCTCCTCAAATCCGAGCACAAGACGAACAATCGCTCCTTTCAGGTCCCACATATTTTCAGGAACAGGAACTCGCCTGCCATCCTATGGTGCTTCCAGCTTTACACGGCCCGCTGGCTGGTTGGTCTCAACCTCTCCCTAGACATCAGCACGAGCCTCTGAAAGTAGCAAGAAGGGCAGAGGAACGGCTGCTGATCTTGGGTGGAGGTGTCATTGGTGTCTCGGTGGCCTACCACTTGGCCCAGCGTGGCAAACGGGTGACGTTAGTGGATCATGCTGGCTTAGCCAGCTGTGCTAGTGGCAAAGCAGGGGGCTTCTTGGCAAAGACTTGGAACGACAGGACACCCCTGAAGCAGCTGTCGCAGAAGAGCTTCGACATGCATGCGGATCTTGCGGTGAAGTTGAAGCTGAAGTCATATCGGCGCTTGCGTTGCAAGTCAGTCACAGTGCAGGGTGTGAAGCCACCTGTCAGGAAGCTGGAGCACTTGGAATGGGTTGAAGATGCAGTTGATGAGCGACACATGGGTGACGAAGCAACCATCGCACAAGTCCATCCGAGGGAGTTGACAGAGGCCATGTGGAAGGTTTGTGAGGAAGTTGGTTCGAACTTTGTTTTGGGCACGGTGAATGAGTTGATCACGGAAACTGCAGGGTCTGAACAGAAAGTGCTTGGTGCCTTTGTTAACAGTCAGCCCATGCAGGCCGACAAAGTGGTATGCTGCATGGGCCCTTGGTCCCAAATTCTTGGAATGATTTTGCCTCGCATGAAGATCTACGGCCAGAAGTGCCACAGTGTTTTGCTGCAGGGTGAACGTGTGCTGTCCGAGGCGGTCTTCTTCAAAGGTCTTGGAAATCCAGAGGTCTATCCCCGCAACGACGGCGAGAACTACGTGACGGGCTTCCCTGATCCCGTGACGCTCGTCACCGAGCCACCCGGCAACGTCCAAGTCCGTCGAGAGGTCTGTAAGCGCCTGGTCGCCAGTGTTCGTGAGGTCTCACCTGAGATGCAAAGAGCTCAGGTGACAGGGGAACAGTCTTGCTATTTGCCATTAACCGCTGATACATTTCCGGCCATTGGTCCACTTCCACAATACAAGGGTGGTTATCTTTCCGTGGGCCATGGGTGTTGGGGGATTCTGAATAGTTTAGCCAGTGGCTTGGCGATGACTGAGCTCATCTTGGATGGTAAGGCAACATCTGTGGACATTGAATGCTTTGATCCAGAAAGACTCTTGAGTGTGGATGACCCTGAGTGGGCTCCTGGCTGAACCTTTCCTCACTTTGGATGGCGAAGTCTGCAGTTTCTGCAGTTGGCTCACAGTCACTTGCTGTTGTCGCCTGCAGCGACGTCAGCAGAGTTCCATTTTCCTGAAATAGTGCAGATTCTAGACTTGGTCGTGATGTCGCAACCTTTCTCGACTCGTGTCGAATGCATCGCACAGTTGTTGATGGCCCAAAGTGGCATCGACCAAGGAGGAAGCGGTTCGAGTGTGGGTTTTGAGTGTGCGAGGGTACATGATTTTTGCGCTTCTTACCAAGTTACTAGTACCGAGGTGTGAAGCACAACCCTGTGCATCTCTGTTTGGAAAGTTCTGTCTGTTTTTCGATCTATGTAATCATGATAGTTATGATTATCAATCTAAGTCTAAAGCATTGCGAAACGATTTCAAGCTTCCAACCGGTCCACAACCCCAACTCCAGTGAATTCAAGCGAAGCAATGCGATGCACAGGGAGCCCAAATAACACACCCCCTGCAGAGGGGGACAGGCCCAACCCATGAAAGACGGGCCAAGACCAACTGCTACTAGTAGCTTCTTGCTCCTAGTAGTAAGGCCAGGAGCCCCTAGTAGCGTCCTTGCTCCTAGTAGCGATGCCCTTTGCTACTAGTAGCTTCTTGGAGCTGGAGCTTCGCTCATGGTCCAGGTCGAGGACTTCAATGCCTTCACAGCCCCGTTGGCCGAACTGGGCGATGCCCTACCACTGGAGGAGAGGGGATGCTTTCTTTTTCTTCCTTGTCTTCCCTTCTGCAACTCCAAACAAGATCGAATGGTTTTTAACATTTTTACAAACCAGTTTCCATGTCCAGACTCGCAGAACCAACATAATTTTTGTATAAATATATAAGTAGATATATATATATATATCATGATATATCCTATAGGCTAGTGGTGGTTCTGAACGGTGGATGCTCCACCCAGGAGCAGCAGCACGATTTGTTCAGCCTCGTCGCGCAAGATCCGAAGCACAAGGCGACGACGTTTTGGTCCGTGTGATTGGTGGAGACGGTGGAGAGTGAAAAAACCGAGAAGTGTTCAGCCGCCGATTGATTGTGTGTGTTTCGTTTTTTTGTTATTTTTTTAATCAAGCTTTTATAAAGTCTGGTGTTGAAAGATTCTTGAAAGTACATGGCACCTTTTCAGGTAGAAAGAGACCGGGATAAGTGATACCACCGGTGTCCAAAAGGTCATACATCCCAGGGACTCCCGCCCCAGGAGCTCTTGTCGACCATCACGGCTCGCTACGATTGGCTCTTCGACAAGGCCCGGACACTTCGGCCGGACAAGATTCGGCTGAGGCTTTTGGGATAATTGGGAGGGTGTTGGTGCATGTTGGAACTTTTTTTGTTGGCCAAATTTGGCATCCGATCATAACACATCTATTTGCATCTTTGAGTTGGTGAATTCACATCGACCAGTTGAACGGACCGTTCGGTCGGTCTTCGGAAAAAATCACGGAATGATTCAAACGGACCGAGACACAATCTACGATTACGAATGATTCAAGTGGACCGAGACACAGTCTGCGGTGACCAGTGGATTGGCAGGTGAATACGTATGCCAGTCGCTTTGAAGAGTCCCTTGGCAATCGCAACGGCAACCTCTGTCGACACCACGCAGGTTGGCACACGCAGCCATTGGTGTTGGCAAGGTACTATCAACCTGGCACAGGTGGAAAAAAATACGCGGTGGTCGTTTTCGTCCTGGAGAGTCTCAAAGAGACCTGCGGTTTTGGAGGTAAAAACTGAAACAAGATGAAACAAGAGCTTTTCTGGATATTCCGCACAACACAGCAAACGCTGCACATCATGGGACATTCCCCCGTCTGAAAACAACACATGATATTCATGATACTTCGATATTTGTTTTTTCTTACATTTTGTTCATGTTCCTCACAACACACTGTGGGTGTAATAAGGCCTTGCAAGCTTTTCATGCATTCGACGTGCTTAGGTTCGTCGAGATGTATGCTGAGAACTCGGCCTTGACCGACTGCAGTGTCACTTGGCAGCTTTTGGAGGTGATCTGAAGAGAGTCATGTTTCGCCTCGGCCTTTCGGCTTGTGCTCGAAAAAACGAGCTCCGTTGGATCCACCCAAAAGAAGTCGATCACGGCAAGCGCTGTCGAATCCGCATGGATCGGCCTTGAAGAGATCCGAGGTCACATTTGCTGATGCTTCTCTGGATGACTTCCGCCACTGGGCTGAGATGACGTTGATGATAGACCAGGGTTCAAAGAACCAAAACGCCTGCCTAGTTGATTGGACAGATTGAGGTTGAGAACATGCAATTAAGAAGCCATTAGGGCTCCTGGCATTACTACTAGGAGCAAAGACGCTACGAACGGGGCTCCTGACCGTACTACTAGTAGCAAGAAGCTAGTACAGTAGTAACTCATAGTAACTCTTTGCGACTTTGGCCTTTTGTTCATGCCTTCTCTCCTGGCTGCCGGTGTTCATGTGGCGATTCTGAATCAGGTGCTGCACTGGCAAAGTACCAGAAGCAGAAAGAGGCACTCGAAGAGATGAACCGTTCACGTGACCAAGCCTGTGCAAGCATCGGCATGCATTCGCCACTGTTCCAAATTGAAGCCTTGGCTATGAAACGATACAGTTGCATACAGTTGCAATACGTACAGTGCTTTTGCGAACGTACAGTACACATCGTGGACCATGATTCCAGGGGTGCCGATGGTGCGAGTACGCTTTAGCAAGTGGACCGCAAATTTGAATACTAGACGAGCCATTAAGGAACATTGACACATTGGAGCAAATCCGTAGTCCCTGTGCTGCAATGGTCATAGGACCCGGCACGGGTAATCCATGGTCATCAGTCATCCGTACATTCGCTGTCTATCCGCCAGGACATCCGCTCCATGGGCAGGACCAAGGCCAGGACACAGTGACGAAGTGCAGGGATGCAGTGAGGTCACGAAACGGCTCAGTTCGGTTTGGAGGAAGGCAAAAGACAATCTGTCGCATGCAAGCGGACGGCTAAAAGGGCACAGCTCACTAAGATTTCTTCATTTCTTCCGATTTGGCATAGTTCATTAGTGTCACTGATTGATGACGTACCAACTCTTGTCAAGTTGTGGAGAGAGCTGCAGAGAACTAGCGTGAACAAAAAACCCGATGTGAGAGGGCATTTTGTGACCAAGAGACAGAAGTGTGACCAACAGGACATCGGGATTTTCCGCTTGGACTGCCAAGAAATGCAGCGAACGCTCCTGTCTGGCTCTTGGGGATGTTCTGGTTTCTCCGGCTTCCGAGAAAAAAAGAGAGAGGGAAAGACGATAGATCAAGAATGGCGAGAAGCTTCGTTGCTTCAAATCCCTGAAATGGCATGTCCCTTTTTCAACCAAAACACTCTCATGCCGTTTTTGCAGCCTTGTTATTTTTGTGGGGGGGTGGTCCGGGAGGTTCACCGTGCGTTTGTTCGCATGGGCCTTTGAAGCCTTTCAGCTCGTCTCAAAACAACACACGCAAGTTACCCAAACCGACCCAACTAAGCCAGATCCGAAGATGCTTTATCATCAATTTTTGGAGTGACCAGACAACACAGAGGCGAAACCATTGAGTTCGGCCCGAGTTCATGCACAGAGACTGGGTGTACCCGGGAGAGACTTGCTTTCTTCTGAGACCGTCGCCGACGGGATGCTTTGACTTGCTGGCACAGTGGTAGACTCAGAGGGGGCTTTGTTGATTCCTGAAGCATGTTGAAAAGTGTTGAAGCTTTCTGAATAAAGGAGTCCACAGATAGAGGCATCACAGATAGAGGCATGACAGCGATGGGCTGGAAGGGACAAGAGGGTAGCCTTACATGCTAGTGATCAGCGTTACTTGGACCAACCGTGACAGAGGTGGCAACATGCACGTTTTGTCAGGCTCATTTGCTGGTGTTGTTCAAGATATTGTTTGGATGCTGCAAAAAAGGTCGACAAACATGAAATTAACTATCCATAAATAACTCATCAAAGTCTCTAGTCTCTAGTCTTTTTCACGAAACACATTCCACGAAACACATTTCAATACATTTCATGTGCACTCGGACTACAGCGACCTCATTTGTGTTTTCGAGGTATATTCCAGAATTGGCCATGTCCCGGAATGCCGAGCTTAGTAGTGAAATCCAGGCCGTGGGCGCTGGTGACTTTGATGTGGTCATTTTCTGGTGACTTTGCATCTGAGTTTTGAGGGAATGTTTCCAAATCTCTTTGATTCGGCTCTTTTTGCAATGTGTGCCTTTGTCTGCTCAGGCAGCTAATGACAGACTCAAAGAGTACCCGAACAATGTGGACGAGTATGTAGAGTTGGACTGCTCAGCTATTTTAGATGCGTCTGGCGCTTCAAAGACATGACATCTGGAAGAGTCTGCAAGTGTAAATTCCAGTCAAGAGCCTGAGACCCACGAGATCCTCCAGTAGATGAACTCTATGTTCATTGATGTTGCTTTTTTGCAGCAACCAATTTTGGATGAAACGGGCCACTGTTGATGCTACCAAAAGCGCAGGCCCCTTCGGGCTTTTGCTGTTTGGTTAAGTATACAGACTTAGATGACGCAAGAGTCGCACTTGACACACAATTCTTTGTTCTCGTGATTTTGCTGCAAAGACCTGTGGCTTCGTCCCTTGCATCAGTCCGCTTGATTCGTCCCTCGTCCCTCGTTCCTCGTTCAGGTTCAACGTCCACTTGGCCAAGATCGACGCCTCCTTGCCTTTGCTGGAAAAGCGCTTCCTCGAGGACGAACACGTGTCAACGGTCGCGGACGGACTTCGCGAAACGAAAAAGAGATAGGGAGGACGGGATGGACGTGAGGGTATCGGAGGGTCCAATGCGGACGGAATGAAGGTATCTTTAGGTATCTTAATAGGTGAATATAGGTGGCTTTTCTCGCATTTGGATTGGTTTTTTCAATGTTTTTTTTCAAGGCGCGAAGAACACACCGAAAACCTCCGTGGGGCTCCCACGGCCGGCGCGCCATGAATTGGCTTACCTGCAGTCTTGCAGGTGCAAGAAATGGCCGAAATCATCCGGGAGTGACTTGGTTCTTTTCAGCGACTGGTGACAGGTTGCTGCGGCCAACAGGTGAACTTGGACACACTGAAGGAAGCTGGGGTAGGAAGACCTAAACTTGAGACGTACTGGAGAGTAAAGACCGGTAAAGATACAAGTGTCGACTTATTGAACGCTTTACCCACGTGAAACAACTTCTCCGCTTGAGCCGATTCGACCCCAGAAC